AAGTTCGCAAGGTCTGAATGGTTCAGTAAGTTCATTATTTCATCATTAATTTCATTAATTTCATCAAACTGCTTTACTTGTATCTTTATATCCCTTGATGATTTTCTGACAAAAGGGTTTTTCTTTTGCTTGTGGGAATAGAATCTCGCAAAGTAGTTAGCTATTTCGGAGTCGCACTGACAAAAGGGTTTTTCTTTTGCTTGTGGGAATAGAACCTAATGTAGTTAGCTATTTCGGTGTCGGCGGTAAGCAATTTGTAGTTAGCTATTTCGGAGTCGGTGGTAAGCAGTTCGTTGTTCAGAAAATCGAAGTTGGGCCTATTCTGGGGTGGATTATAGACCCTTTATATCTTGAAGTGGTTTTGATATTTCCAAATATTTAATCTGTTTATTTCGCATATGTCTTGCGTCGAGCCCCAACTCTTGATTATTTCGTAATTTGTTGTGAGGCCTTCTTTTACTCTAGTCAGAATTCCACTTCCAACTATTACCAAAGAAGTAAAATATAGTAAGTTTGAAAATCGCTCGTGCTGTTATGACGTAATAACGCAAATATTTTTTTTCAAATCAAATGACATTAGCACAATTATTGGGTGGGCAACTAATTCATTGCCGTCTTTTTTGACAGATTCACTCTATACTTTCTTTTGTTTTGTTAACGTGGCCAGAGCATCTAACCTATATTTTTTTTTCTTACTGTATGGGCTTCTAGGTTAATTAGTAAAAAATTTTTTTGTTTAGTTCTTTAGTTTTGTTTTTATCCCAATTTAAAAATGAAAGAACAGGACGTGCACTTCCCACACATTTTATTGTATTACTTCCGAAAAGGCAAGAACGCATCGCAAGCACAAAAGAAGTTATGTGCCGTATATGGAGATGAAGCCTTAAAAGAAAGGCAGTGTCGAAATTGGTTCGAAAGATTTCGTTCCGGTGATTTTTCACTGAAAAATTCACAACCATCTGGCCGCCCAGTCGAAGTGGATGAAGCCCATATCAAGGCCATTATCGATTCAAATCGTCACAGCACAACACGAGATATTGCAGAGAAGCTCAATGTGTCGCATACATGCATTGAAAAAAAATTGACATAACCCTTGGTTATGTCAAGAAACTTGATTTATGGATCCCTCACCAGTTAAAGGAAATTCATTTGACGCAACGGATTAGCATCTGTGATTCGCTACTGAAACCCAATGAGAATGATCCATTTCTGAAGAACCTAGTTACTGGCGACGAAAAGTGGATAGTTTATAACAGTGTTACTCGCAAGAGATCATGGGTGAAGCAAGATCAACCAGTCCAAACAGTATCAAAAGCAGAGTCACCAAANTTAAAAATGAAAGAACAGGACGTGCACTTCCCACACATTTTATTGTATTACTTCCGAAAAGGCAAGAACGCATCGCAAGCACAAAAGAAGTTATGTGCCGTATATGGAGATGAAGCCTTAAAAGAAAGGCAGTGTCGAAATTGGTTCGAAAGATTTCGTTCCGGTGATTTTTCACTGAAAAATTCACAACCATCTGGCCGCCCAGTCGAAGTGGATGAAGCCCATATCAAGGCCATTATCGATTCAAATCGTCACAGCACAACACGAGATATTGCAGAGAAGCTCAATGTGTCGCATACATGCATTGAAAAAAAATTGACATAACCCTTGGTTATGTCAAGAAACTTGATTTATGGATCCCTCACCAGTTAAAGGAAATTCATTTGACGCAACGGATTAGCATCTGTGATTCGCTACTGAAACCCAATGAGAATGATCCATTTCTGAAGAACCTAGTTACTGGCGACGAAAAGTGGATAGTTTATAACAGTGTTACTCGCAAGAGATCATGGGTGAAGCAAGATCAACCAGTCCAAACAGTATCAAAAGCAGAGTCACCAAAAAAAGATTATGCTGTCAGTAGTCTGGTGGGATCACAAAGGAATTTTGTATTTTGAACTCATGCCGCAGAACCAAACGATAAATTCAAATGTGTATGTTGAAGAACTCGAAAAACTGAAGGATGCAATTGAAGATAAGCGGCCGGCATTATCAAATCGGAAGGGTGTTGTTTTCCATCATGATAACGCAAGGCCCCCCCCCCCACACATCTTTGGTTACTCGGCAAAAATGATTGGAACTGGGTTGGGATGTTTTGTCACACCCACCATATAGCCCTCACCTTGCGCCTTCGGATTACCATTTGTTTCGTTCCATGCAAAACTCTTTAAATGGTAAAGTTTTAACAACGCGGATGATGTCGGATCACACCTAATTCAGTTTTTTAATAGCAAAGACCAGACATTTTACGAAAGGGGAATTTTTACTCTGCCAGAACGATAGAAAAGGTCATCGGCAAGAACGGCCAATATCTAATTGAATAAAGTTATATTTTTAAACAAAAATTCCGAATTTGCCTTCTTATTTGAAATCGGCAATGACTTAGTTGCCAACCTAATATAATAGTCTCAAAAATCGACCTCATCGAATCATCATTATCATATTTCGGCAATTAAAAAATATACCTAAATTGCAACATATTCCTAAAATGTCTACTTAATTAATGTTAGTAGCGCTATTTAACGAAAGTTTAAATCGTTGCATGAGGTAAGATGACAACTACCTTCGTGCACTGCTTCATTTTGTAGAAAGCTTTGTTGTCAATTAATCCCATTAATTGCTCAAGGAAAGGTTTTTTTGCTGAAGTTTTCTTACGTTTCAAAGTCTGAAACGAAGTCTATTCTTACGTAAAGCTATCAATGCAATTTCAAACAATCTATTCACTACTTCACCCTTAGTACCAGCATCTAATGGAATTTAGCATACACATGCCACCTATCCATGCAGAACTCTGTCGCGCTCCCAGATGTCTCAGAAAAACCCTTATCAAGCTTGATGACGGACATCCCCATCCGTTCTTTCAATCGGTCAGTGCAGTTCCCCCCACTAACCCAAAATACTAACTTGCGCGACCCATTCTCGCTTTTCACTCAAGTCTAATACTTTATCCCATCTTGCCAGAGCTCAAACTGTTGCATTCCCCACTTCAACACTAACAACAATGAGGCTTTTGGACCATTAAGAACAAGCTTTACTAAGGAATATTTTGTAATAAAACTCACGACTTCCAACGTATTTTTATGATTGGCTAAAGACGTCAGTTGGCAATGAAGACCCATAATGAGAATTAAGAAAAACGGATAGCGAGTTACATCACACCCTAACTATTACTCAACCGTTATAAGCTTTCAAACAAACAAGAGTGCCTTCACGGTTATTAACCCTCAGAGCTCAAGAAGCCATCATCAAATATCTAGAAATCCGGACCCCTACCATACCCAAACACTTAAATAATTTACACATGAACGTATATAAACGCCAGACATTCAAACCAAAATCGAAAATCCAATAAAGCCCGCTTCGACGACACGATCAGAGCAGAACTATTTTAGACAAATAGAACACAAATGACCAGAATTATACAAGATATTATTTATATGAGGATGGCTTATTCTTTGTCAGACTTAGCAACAATAACACGGGTACCACGAATACGACCAGTACGTCTGGCGGCAATAAGACCAACTTTCCTACCATGAGAGGCATCACGGCGAATAGTTGAGGGTTTACCGATGTGTTGATGATTACCACCACCATGGGGATGTTCAACAGGCTATTGTGATAAAATAACATATTAACAAAAATTAATACATCAAACATTAAATATAAGATAGAATACTTACATTCATACAGACACCTCGTACAACAGGCCAGCAATTGCGCTTAGCCTTGTACTTGTGGTACGCACGACCAGCTTTAAGAATAGGCTTGTCAATGCGCCCACCACCTGCAACGAGACCAACCATAGCACGGCAACCAGATGAGAGAACTTTTTTGGCACCAGAAGGCAACTTGACACGAGTACGGTTAGTATCGTGATTGTGCGACACAATGGTAGCGTATGTACCACCAGCACGCGCAAGCCTGCCACGATCTCCATTCTTTTCCTCAACATTGCAAATAACTGTACCCTCAGGCATAGCACCAATTGGGAGAACGTTACCAATCTAACGCATAAGAACTACAATAAAATTACAGGCATACCTGAAGGCTAGCCTTTTTGCCACAGTAGACGAATTGACCGGTGTGCATACCTTCAGCGGCAATGAAGAGCTGCTTGATATGCTTATATGAGTACATATCGCGGAAGTCGACCTTTGCTAGTGGAGCACCACGGCCTGGGTCGTGAATGATTTCGCGAACAACACCGCGAATATATCCATGTCTTTCGGCATAATCCACGGGACGTAACTTAGCTGGACCCTTGCGATGCTTGGTGTGGGCCTTGAAAACGCTTCCTGCACCCTTACGCTGACCACGTATAACACGCCCCATCTTTTTTAGACAGTGACGAAAAACCACACGACGTGAATTAAACGCTAAAGTACCACATCGCAGACTTAAACAAACATAATTAGAGAGTAATGAAATTATTAAAATTATGCCTTATTTCATAAATTAATCATAACTACTGTTAAACATTATTACACTTTTACAAAAATGCATGAATAATTTGTTGCACGAATAGATTTGTTGAAGCAAATGTTAAATTAATAATAATATTTCAAACCTTTTGTCAATAAAATATTAATTACATCTTTCAAATTTGATATTTTTCATATTATTAGATTTTATTCAAAACTATCCGAATATCTACCTACTTTAAATCTTGCATAATTATTGAGCAAATATCCACCAACACCCAATTGCTCCACATTATGTATACATCTATAGCTTTCTATTTATCGGATTGTAATTCCACCCAGTTTAAAATTTGTTGTTGAAAGCAGTTAAAATCAAGCTCGCTTATAATATTTGAAATCATGAATGGAAGAGACACGCATAAAATTACCTTGTCAAAGTAAATATGCACCTTATGGTTGGCTCATCACATAACAATTCTGTAGTGACAACGTTAGGAAAACCCTAGAAAAAAAAATCGCATAATAAAGGTTGACATACAATATATTTTAAGAGTAACATGGAAATAAATATTATTCTCTTCTAAAATTATCTCAAATGGCATTAAGCATAAGTATATGGATCAAATTTTCTTAAACGAATATTAAATGACTTACATTTGTCAAAGAGTAAATCTGATTTTGTATTCGTTAAAATAAAGATTCTCGTTTAGACTAAATGGGATTTTTCATAATGCATCTGATCTTTCATAAAATGCGAAAATATAGTCGATTACCTAAATTAGGCTCAAATAGCCGCTTTGTATTGAGTCAATAGAAGATAAAAAGACGAGAAATGGCTAATAAATTATTAATCTTGTTAGCGGCTATTAATCTTTTTCGATTTTTAATGTAGCGGGTTTCATGGTGTCATTTTCAAATATGTATTAGCTGATCATGTGCCCTATTTTTATCAAAAAAAATCAAAACGATTCTCTTAGTCAATTAGAGTCATTAATTTTTTTGCTTTTAAGTAAAAAACTGGGTAAAATTGGCACATCAATATGTTGTTCAGAGGTAAAATGAACATTTCAAATCCTCGTTTAGGGAAATTTTTCTGACCATAAACCTCAATATGTTTTTCTTTTCATATATAATAGAGTTTTAAGTTCATTTCTGCTGTGCATAATTTTATCTTTTGCAAATATCAAAAAGGGATGCCAAATCTTATGACCTTTACGAATTATTGGCAATGGATTTCGGTGAAACTCACAAGGCTTGAAAGTACATTTACAACATATGTGCACATAATAGCAAACCATTTGAAATAAAAATTTATGAAAAATGTTATATTAGTTAACAATTTGAACTAAAATTTGTCAAAATATTAATTATCTTGCATAATATAAAACTATAATAATTACAAGCATGGTTCTTCCACTAGTTCGATGATTACAAACTAGAATGTGTAGCGGATTGCTACGCTTGTAAAGCCTAACTGACTCAGGAATCTCTATGGCAGATTCTCCTACATCTAGCTAGACTCCCAGAACAAGCTAAGCTATAGCCCAGCTATAAGGGAAACAGACGTGTAGCACCGAATACGATTATTCGGTACGTATATTGATAGCGAAGTGTAATGTTGGCAAAGCGATTAGTTATCAGATAACTCTAGCATAATTCGTTTGAACTTTAATAGCTAAGTATTTCTGAGTAGTTTTCTAAAGCAGGATTTCTATTTGGTCATTGATGAAGTGTCCCACAAATGAACACAATCGCCCAAAAATAATACTCTAAAATATTTTGCAGATTATAAAATTAACTTCACTAGTTAAGTAGGTTTAAAATAAATTTTCAGGCTCAAATTTCATTGAAAAATTGCCTCGTCATAATAGTGAGGCATATTATGACAAGGATGATACACACTATAATGAGTATTCATTTACAATCAACTTATATAATCAAAATATGTTAAAAATATCTCAGGATAAAATTCATTAACGATTCTATATCGTTCAATAAGCATTTTAAATCAAAATAGTCGTTATATTTTGTTTTAGTCAATCAACTGATTCATATCATAATTTTCTACCACAATTCCCTTTTTGAAACTTGGTTGTTGAGTGGAATTGTTGTATATTTGCAGTGGATGATGTATTATGCAACTTTTCACTCCTTAACTGAGTTCAATCATCCCTAATTGAATCATTTTATTTTATCCTGATCGTTTTACGCAATTGGATTCGTTCTCAAACAACCTTCGAATTTGCTTATTGGTAGCATTTGCTGTTTTTATTGCTTTATATTAATATTTGAATTTACAAAGCACTGGATGATTAATATTTTTCGAATAAATTTTTTGCCATCTTAATTTTGCGCTTTTAATTAGATCTTCATTAGATAATACCTGTATCTCCCCCACATTATGATCTCATTTTGTCTTCAGTCCTTGTCTCATTTTGATTCACATTTTTGTCTTCGCGTGGAAATCAGCCTTTCTTCATACTTTTCACTGCAAATTCACATGCTCTTCTCGTTTCGCGAGTATGTCCATATTGTTTGCTAGATTGTATGTTCCAACGGGCGCCGCATGATCTTGTTCTCACTGTTAGTATCCGATGCTTACTGAAATTTTATAGACGCCTGTTATCGTTTTCCTTCACTCAGTTTTCACGGATCGTGACGAAAAATGTTGGTATTGATGGGTTTATTTTATTTTGGTGGTTTTTCATTCTTTAAATGATCTTATACGAGAGATTTCAAGTTTTATTGCTATGCTATTTTGATTTTTATTGTTGTTTCTTCAATTTACTATCCTTACCTTTCAATCTATGTGGAAACTTTTCTGCTCATACTTTTGAAGTTTGTAATTTAGACAACTATATTGAATTATATCTATCCTAAAGATAAGACTTTTCCTCGTTTTTGTTAATCTATCTCTATCGATTTGATCTCTTTAATTCTGTGTTCCACTCTACTATTTTAAATAGGTGAATTGGGATCCTGATCTCTTCTTAGGAGTTATGAATCAAAACTTCCAAGTGAGCATTAACCAAGGTTGCACACATGAACTCTTCATCATTCAGGGTTGAATTACCTGCTAAACGCCTTAGGTATCGCAAGTACAGGGAAATGCATACTTATTGTTAATCTGTTGGCAATCGAGTACCAAAATTATGAAAAGTACAGTTATATTATGTTTGTGCAATGGCATTGCGTATAGGTGTATGCAATGATTTCGGATGAGAGAATTGAGGATGTGCAGCTTGCGATTCCGTTGTACACTCGTTACTTTTAGTGCAAAGTTTAATATGCCTTTCCTTGTACCTAAAATTTGCGACTAAAATTAGCTCATAAATTGGCCGGTTGACTGATGAAATTGCAGTTGGCGCTTTTTGTTACGAAACTTATCCATTTTCTATTGATTTTTCTGATCTGAAAGTGATTCATTTCCCTCTTCCTTTCTAATTATATGGTGAGTTAATTTGTTCCTTTTCATATGAGTAGAAAGCACTCGTTTTCATTGGTTATAAGGATTATCATTTTGTGATTGTTGATTTCATTAAATATTATCAGATGAGTATTGGAGCTCCCACGTGTTAGGTTTTAAATTGTTATCTAGGTGACTTATGCGATAAATAAACAACTGTTCTTTAATCTATTTTTGTTTATTCGGCAACTATCTGAGCATTGGCAACTGAACACGAGACAGAGGAAATACCACGAAAAGGTGGAGTTGTGAAAATTCATTTGAAGCAGCTGCTCTCTACTTTGGGTGCTGCGTAGTCTCGTAATTTCCTTATTAAAAGGCATGCTGCATTCACTTGCTGACTTTATTTGCGTCGGTGCATTTTCTTTAAAGCTCCATCTGAATGTTTCCTAACGATAGTTGCTCGATGTTAAGTCGATTTGATCAATTTCATATCTATGATGCAATTTAGACTTGGGAAGAGAGGTCGAGATTTAAAGATCTCAAATAGTGAAACTGAGATGCTTATGATGCTCGAAACCCGATTTATGTCTTCTTGCCCTGAATACACGCTCATGTTTTAATATGTTTAGGAGATTTGGGGTCGCATGGAGTTTAGATTCGAAGGTGTCGGCAACACATTTGCCCATTTTTACATTACACTAACAAAAAAGAGGAAGAATGTCCTTTTATAAGCCTTGTTTTGGGATCACTTTCTAAACAATAATGCGAAAATATGCTCTTAAATGTTTTCTGAGTTGTTTACTGTGGTCATTGAAGTCTTGCATTAGTATGAACTAGTACTTATTTAAGAGAGAAAACAAATAATCTGGTTATAACGTTACAGGTTATTATTAATCTGCTAGGATGACGAATCACCTTTATCAGAGCTCTGAAAAGTAATCAAATTTAGGACCCGGACGCGAATACATGACTCATTCCTGCCGCAGTCCTTATAAGGCAGAGCTGAGTGAGTCCTGGTACATTCCGGTGGCTTTATGTACCCGCTCCTGGCTGCCAGAAGATAAAAATGAATTGGGAGTGGCTTGATCAACTTCGGAATCATTATTTCTAAAGGTCTGAGAATCAAATGACGAAAGTTGGTCACAAGGACACCAAATGGCTTCATTGTCATAGCTATTAACAAGCACTAGTCAAACAGTTACTCCCGAATATCAAAAGCTGCTTTGAAGTAACCATGAATCTGTAATAATCAAACTGATGTTTGAATAAATCTTCCATCTTCCCCATAGCGGGCATAAGTAACTTAGCCAGTTGGGCGCCAGGATTATAATAATGAATACCTATTAAACAATACATTCGGAGACAAATTTCAAACTCTTACAATCGAAGGCAGGGGTGCGCAATAGACTTACCTCCACGTGGTGCACCCTGGGCAGCGTATACTCATACGGCAAAAAAGTCTATCAAACCGGCAGTTGACTTCTGACTTCAAACTACTATGGCCCGACTATTTGTCATGTTCGACCCTTTTCACAGTACTCCTCTTACCTTTTTTATGCCTTTGTGTCTGTCTGTCTCTTTTACCTCTGTGAATCATTATTCTGTCTCCC